GGGGACTGAGCCTGACACGCACCACCGCCCCGCCTACGCCCCGGGACCCCCCGAAGCGCCGCTGGACCGCGTTTAGGATTTGTGGGTGCTGGTGGGGCTGAGGCCCGCTGGGCTCTGGTGTCAGAAAGACCCTGAAGGCCATAGGGTGGCGCTCTTCGGCGTCCAAGAGGGAGGGTGCTCAGTGTGCAGGACCCGGCTCCAGCTGGCACTCGCCGAGGCACCTGAACTGGGTAGTTTTATCTAAAGGATGCAGACTCCTTCCTCCTAATTCACCCCATCGACTTTCGGATAGGAAAACAGCTCGGTGCAGCGCGTCCTAACACCACACAGGATTTGTTCTGCAGGACGTCCAGGACCAGGACACAAAGTTACCAGGACCTTGGTTTCCAATAAGAATTCTGGGCTTTCAATCCAAAGGGTCCTGATAGGTTTAGCACTGTCTGCGATGTTGGAGTTGGTGACCTCAGATAATAGGGCCCTAAAGGCCTAGCTAGGGGTGCTTTTCCTTGGGGAGTCCCCGAATGATTTGTACAGGGCTACATTTGCTCCCTGGCCTGACTGTTTTTTGCCACAGGTCTAAGGGGGGGAAAAGCTTCTTGCCCTTTGAATTTGTGGAGCATTCCGAGCTCTCCCCGCCCCTGCCCCCCCATGATCCCCCCCAAAAAGTTATCTTTCAGCCTTGCCACTCCTGAGACCAAGGTTAAAATATTTGCTGCCCCCAGAAGGGAAGTTATTTAGGTGCTCTGTTTGAATGTAAATTTCCATCCAGGTGACCTGACTGGGATCAAGAAGTTTGTTATAGTTAGATCTAGCCTCTAATTTTTTAAAATTTATTTTTATTGTTGAGAATATTACAGATGCTCCCTATTTTCTCCCCTTTGACCCCCTCCCACCCCACCTCAGGCCTTCACCACTCTATTGTCTGTGTCCATTCACTAGTCATACAAGCATTTAAATTCTTCGGTTAATCTCTTCCTAACCCCCCTTCCCTCTGAGATCTATCAGTCTGTACTCTACTTCCATGTCTTTGAACTTATTTTGTTCGTCAGTTTATTTTGTTCATTAGATTTCACATATAAGTGAGATCATGTGACATTTCTCTTTCTCTGCCTGGCTTACTTCACTTAGCATAATAATCTCCAGGTCCCTCCATGCTGTCTCAAAAGGTAAGCGATCCTTCTTTTCTATAGCTGCATAGTATTCCACGGTGTCAATGCCCCACAGCTTTTGATGAATGCCAGTTTCGTTTTCCAGCAATTGCACAAAGTTATTTACTCTTACTTCCCTCTCCCTTCAACTGTACCTTTTGAATGTTTGTGTCGCTGTTTTGAGAACTGTGTTGCAAAAGTTGCTAATGAAAAGTTCACTTGTGTTTAAATTAAGGTGAAAAGACAGCTCTACCACTTGAAGCCATTTTATTGTTTGTTAAACTGAACAAAGCCTCCACTTGATATCTTTTTCTGTAACCTAAGCTGAGAGTAGGCATCATATCCGGTTGAAACAAAGAAAGTGTACGAACTCTGGGACCTCGGCAGATGGTCTGTCTATGCAAATGCAATGCTCATAAGGGGCTACGGTGGAGAAAATGAGGTCGACTTCTCCTGTCCAACAATTATTCATTCGAAAATTCAACTCCTTTTCTAACAATAATTTAAGTAGAGCTATATGAAAAAAAAACAAAACATTTATGTTTGTCTTCCTAAATCTTTAGAACAAATTATATATTTAAAATAATTCACATCCAAAATTTGCTCATCTAAATTATGCCTTGGCCAGCAAGTATTACATTTGACGTTTTGAGACTTCCAGTTATTTGTATCTCTCACAGAACCGTATGGCAATAGTTTTTGGACTTTTATTCTCCCTGTCTTGGAGGATTTACACAAGAATGGGGAAGGAGCATCCAACTGGACTATAATTGCCAAGGCAACGGAGAAATTAGGAATATATGCAAAAGAGCTGCATAGCAGAAAAGTGACCCTGATGCTTTTTAAAAAGTATTTAAATTGAGGTAAAGTATATATGCATCAAAATTGGCTTTCACTCTTCCCTGTGACAATAAAGGACTTTAATAATGGCAATGCCACAATAAACTAATACTAGTAACACGTGCATCTTTATTTTAATCAGAATCACTGTCTACATGTATTTATTTATTTACTTTTAAAACTGAAGTCAAACAGTACAGTTATCGGGAGAAGATCCTGCTATACAGGTCAGGGATCTGATGGTTAGAGAATTAAATTTAATTTTTAGCACTGAAATTCATTCTAGATGAGTGATTTTTTTGATTTTTTTTTTAAATCCTGTCTCTGGAAAGAGATGATCAAGTCTCATTGGTTAGCCATGAAACCATGCATTGTCCCTGACTGCCACCTGCAGATAAGATTTAGGGATCTTTCCATTGAAAATGAATGAAGTGTGGGACATGCAGAAGAGAAACACAACCTCTGGTAAAAGCAACAGAGGCCCATCTTGTTTTTTCAAAGCAGTGGACAGTGCTGAGGCCCCTCATTGGTCTTCCCCACAATGTCCAGCTAAATGAAAATGGCCTCCTGGGATTCAAAAGAAGCAACTGTTCAGGGTTTGTCGATCAATTAAAGGTGGAGGGGCATTTTCCTTTCTGCGTGGGTCTCATTTGATAGTGGGGCTCAATATGTAAGATCTTTACTGTGTTAAAATTAATTCTTATGCTGGCTCTCTTTATCCCTACTGGAATTATCAACAATGCCTCTAGTTTCGCATATTATATTTGCTGATTCCACTGCTTTCTGGTATCATACTGATAGTTGCAAGGCAAGGTGAACTCGGGTAAACCCCAAGGGGAAAACAAAGGTTAGGGGTATTATGGCCACAGCAGAGAGCACTGTGAAGTTACATGCCTAGTTCAGGATATATGTATATATCTTAGTTTGGGTATATATATATATATACCCCCCCAAAAAAGGGTATAGGCTGTAAAAAAAAAGTTTTTATTTGAGCAAAGGATTGCAATCTGAGAGAAGCAGATTCAGGTAGCAATCCAAACTGTGCTCTGGAGAGAACAAGGCTGATAAAGGCCAAACCCGCAAATGTAATTCCTGCAGGCAAATGAAGGCTTGCTGCCTAGGTTAACAGGGATTGGCCAGTTCCAGTGTGCACACCAGTGAGCTGAAACCTACAGGAAGGAAGGAAAGTCCAGATATGTCCACGCAGAGGTGGTTGTTCCAGGATGTTTGATTATGGCTCCAGGATGTTTAGCAGCAGGTTTAGCAACAGGGCTTTTGGAAATGAGGCACCTGAGACACAAGATGTGTGGAGGCTGCTTAGGCCTCACTTCCTTTATAGCCTCTTGACTAAAGTGACTCTCTTAGCAATGTTTATTTTACTTTACTTTCTCCATTATCAATATCCTCCTAATAATGAGAAGTAAAGGCAGAGGAATTGAGAGAACAAGAACTGTCTTGAGTTTACCATTTGAAAGGTATTACATCAATGCACCCCTGACCTTGAGTAAAATGATGCATTGGCACACTTGTCTTTTAGGTTCTGGACAGCTCCCGTCTTGGCTCACATCTTCTTCTCCAGGGAACAATGGTATTTGGCTCTCTAAAGGCCTTCTGAATCTCTATCAATACTCCAATAAAGAGAGAGACTTCTTACCATTGACTTCCAGTATGACTAACAAGCCCAGATAATCAATTAGCAGCTCTCACATGTTGCGCTCTATTGAATAATGTTGAAATATGGAGCTACACATTAATATAAGATGCTCTTGTTACCTTAGAGGAGTTTTCAGCCTATTTGGGTATACTGAGGCTAAGTAAACATGCATGTCAGAATATATAACTATCAACTAAATAGGACAAATCACAGGAGTGTGGCACTATACGAATTCATAGAACAAAGATCACTATGGGCTGTGGATGGATAGAAAAGATTGGGTAGAGAAAGCTGTCTGTGTCATCCAGAACTGAACTCTGGGCTCATGGTGGGGTATGAAAAAGCACACTCTTTACGAGGTGCCCAGGACAGCCTGATCCCTTCTTCCTGTCAGGTGGGAGCCCGGGATGAAATCTTTGTCTGGAGTGCTAGACTGCTGGTAGCTTGGACTGA